CGGTACATGCCTTGGTCATGTGGCAGCTGTAGGAATCCGATTTTTACGAGGCGACCGTGAAGATGCTGCTGCCAGAGCCGCGGGGCTTGCTTGATCCCGTAAAGGGATTTTATAAGCTGGCATACTTTTGTGGGGTCGTCGATGAATCCGTGGGGCTGCTCGACGAAGATCTCAGCGTCCACAGCTGCGTACAGGAAAGCATTTGCAACGTCGATTTGGCGCAGTGGTAGTTTCTTCGTGGCCGCGACGGCGAGTAGGATGCACAAGGAGGTGTGACGGGAGACTGGGGCGAATGTTTCTGTGTAGTCGGTTCCGTATCGTTGATCGAAGCCTCGTACGACCCATCGAGCCTTGAATCGTTCGATGGAACCGTCCGCATTGGTCTTGATGCGGGACACCCACTTTCCCGAGAGGACGTTCTTCCCGTTGATGTTTGTTGTAGGTACCAGCTTCCATGTATTTCGGTATTGCAGAGCTTTTAGTTCCTTTTCCATCGCCTCCTTCCATTTCGCCTTATGTTCCCCCCCCAGAGCCTCTGACAGAGTCGTGGGCTCGCGCGGAGATGGCGACGGTGGATGCTGGACGGAGACCCATAAGCCGAGGATTTGCAGTCCCGTGGGTGTGTGTCGAGGGGAATTTTCATTCCCGGAGTAGGCTGCTTCGTCACCATCTTCTGGATCAGGTAAGAAGTTTGGGCCGATGCGTTCTGAGACATTCGTGTCGATCGGGTGAGGTGTAACGTAACCTTGGTCAGCGATGTGGTAAAGGGTGTCGAGGTTGTTGCTATCGAGAGGATTGTCGTCGTCGAGCTGGCACGGAGCAGTAAGGGAGTGGTTCGGCAGCTTCCGAAGCTCCAGGTACGTCTTCTTCTGCTGCGTCAGCTTCGGCAGCACGGTCAGCGAAGGAGCGAAGGCCTGCGACACCGTCGGTGGGGTCTTCTGTGTTGGCGACGTTGTCCAGGTAATGTTGCAGCGTCAGTCGTTCGTAGAAGATCACATCACGTGATGCCACGGTATTTTTGTCTTGTATGTCGAGGATTTTCCATGCTTGAAAATGTTTTGCGATGCCGAGGTGTAGTCCCCATCGTGCTCGTTGAGTGAAACGTCCTGCTCTGGCTGTGTGGGGTCTGTACTGTACCATGCAACCGAAAACCCGAAGTAATTTTGTGCTGCCCCTTTTTCGTGTCCACAGCAGGTGCGGTGATGCGTTGTTGGGGAGCGATGACGAGGATAGCAAATTGTGCAGGTGGGCTGCATGGGTCATCGCGTCTGGCCACAGTGCGTTGGGCAGTCTCATCCCCAGGAGCAGCTTCCGCATCGTCGTCTGCAAGGTCCGGTTCATTCTTTCTGCAACCCCCTGTTGCTGGTGAGCGTAGGGTAGAGACACCAGGCGTCTGATTCCTCTTTCCGCCAAGTAGGTCCTGAATCGTTGTGACTGGTATTCCAGTGCGCCGTCGGACTGGAAACTCTTGAGCGTAGTTCCTGATTCTCGTTCAGCAGTTGGGAGCCACGTCGTGAAGGCTTCGAAGGCTTGATCTCGCGTCTTGAGGTTGTAGTGCGAAACATATCTTGTTGCTGCATCGATAAAAGTGATGACGTAGTTGAAGTCGGCTTCCGTGTCGTCTCGAGGCATGTTTAAGATGTCGCTGTAAACCTTTTCCATCGGTGCATATGCAGGTGCACTTGGATTGTGATGTGATGGGAAGGGTTGATGGGGAAGATCTGCTTCGGGGCACGTGAAGCACCGTGCGCGAGGTCGTCGAAGTTCTTGGCCGCTTGTTGTAAGAAGAGCGTTTCGTTCTAACACTTCGGCTTTGATGGTTTGTAGTACCGTGCTGTTTGCAGGATGCCCAAGGCGTTGGTGCCAGATGTCGTCGGAAGCGCGATGGCCGGGCGAGCGTTGGTACATGTCGGTGTTGGAGAAGAACGCGACGACCGTGGCGGGGCTTCGGCAGACTTATCGTGTGATGGGCATAAGTTGATCTGCTTCGGTTGGCGGTCCTCGGATCGCTGGTGGTGGTACTCGGCTGGGTCCTGCTGCTGCTACTGCAGGTGATGGTTGGGAAGGGACACTTGCTGGTACTTGTCTTTCTTGTCTGATGACTGCTAACGCTCGTGTTCTCTCTGCTGCAGGTATGGTGTTGGAGTACCAGAATCCATCGGGGTTGAAGTCGGGATCAAGATCCGGCGGGTGTGTCCAGGCGGTGAACGACACAATCCCATCGCTATCGGCAGTACCGCGGTCAGGGACGAAGTCCAACACGAAGACGCCGGACTTCAGGAGAGCACGACCGATGAAGAGGCCGCCTTTCCCGTGGTAAAGACGAAACTCGTTGGAGTCCGAGTCGCACTCCAGGTGAATCCCTTTTGCCATTAGCTGGCTGACGCTTAGCAGATTCTATCCCAAGTTGTCAACGATTAGGACCTTGTTGAGTTGCAGGATGACATTTGTTTCCATGGACTGTAACTGAACCACTCCTTGTCTGTTTGTTTTCAGGTTCTCATTGTTGGCGACGGTGATGATGACGTCGCGGTTGAGGCGTCGCTCTTGTTGCACGAAGCGTCCGGAAGAACACATGTGTTGACCGCAGCAGCTGTCCAAGAACCAGGTGTTTCGCCCGGTAGGTTCGGCGTTGGTGACCGCAACGTATGTCGGGTTGACCTGAAGTCCTTGTGAGCGAGGAGGCGGTAGTTCTTCTTCATTGGGAGCGTAAGTTGGCGGTGATCCGGGTGCGCAGTTGTCGATGTGTACCATGCAGTTAATGATATTCGGTGTATTTTGTGCAGATGTGGGAGAGCGCCTCGGCGGACTTTCTTGAGTGGAAGCGACTTGTGGGTCTACTGGACGATAAGCTCGGGGACGTGTGCAGTTGACTTTGGAGTGTCCGGATGTTTGGCAGTTGTGGCAGAACGGTGGTACAATGGTGAGTCCTCTTTTGTCGCGTTGATCTTGCCTGCCGCGTCGGTTGTAGTTGTTGTCGTGTCTTCGATGAGTGTAGAAGACTAATGGTTGTTGTTTCCTTGGTTGTCTTTCTTCAAATAGGTCCATCTCCTGTTGTTCAGCATGAAGCTCGGCGCAGAGGTGCATCTCCGAGATTCGTCTGTGGGCGCGAAGGAGCGAGCGGGTGGTTCGCCATTCTGGCCCGAGCCCAGCGAGGACAAGCGTCACGAAGCTTTCTTCAGTGATTGTTCCTCCGCACCGAAGCAGGCGGTCGCGGAGTGTTTGGCATCGACTCATATACTGCATCGCCTATTCCCCGGTCTTCATCTGTATTGTTGTCAGCTGCTGCATGAGTCTGCTTTGTGTCACGCTGTCGTTTGCTTGATAGAGACACTTGAGGTGATGCCATGCGAGTTCCGCGGAGTTTCCGTAGCTCTGGTACGTTCTGATGCTTTGTTGTTCTTGTGGTGACAGGTTCCGTAGGAGAAATTTGTACGCCAGCAGCGACTGATACGTGAAAATTTCTTGCTCTTTTCCAGTGCCGTTGCTTGGGAATGGCAGGGACCCGTTGAAGTATCCCAAGAGATACGCAGCCTCCATCAGCAGCTCGAACTCAAAACTCCAGGTAAAGAAGTCGTGTCCGTTGAACGGTGAGGATGTCTGCAGTTTGATCACGTGTGAAAAGTGCGCCTGAAGACTAAGTATCTCGTCTGGTGTTTGTTGTGATGCAGTTGCTGTTGGTTGGGCACGGGGTGGCATGAACTCGAACGTCCCCGGTGAAGAGTGATAAGGCGCAAAGGTAGGCGCTTGATTATGTCGCCCGAACGATGAGTTGTCGAGGCTCATCGACGCTAATCCCATGTTTCCTCCGTTGCTCTGTGTTGAGTGCGCAGGTGTCCTTGTCTGCTGCTGCTGGTCGAAGTGCGACATGAAGCTGAAGAACCTTTCCATAAGGTTCGGATCCACGCTTGAAGATGGTGATGGGGTCACCATTTCCGGTGCTCTTCCTGTTGTTTCTTGAGCAGCGCCGGTCTCGGTTTGCAGTCTTGAAGTGTGCAATCCATAGTTGCCGGGTTGAGTGTCTTGGGTGCTGGGTGAGCCCATAGAGATTTTCTTGCCTTTGCTGTCCGTGACTTGTAATCAATGAAGTCGTTGGTGTGCAGATTGTAGATAGAGCGTAGTTGCTGGGAGTTTGGTCTCTTACCAGCTCTCATACCGGTACCATGTTGGGCTGAGAAAAACCCTTAGGATCTTTCCAGAGACTAAGTCCCAGTTGAAGAATGAGACTTTAGTAGTGCAGCGGAAGTTGAGTAGTTGAACCCTTGTACTAATTTATGAGAACAAGTGATTGATTAAAAGAAACAAGCATACAACAATATATAGAGAATAGGAAAGTAAAGCAGTTGTAGAATACAGTTGCAGGAGCGGTTATCGAGTCGCACAGCGACTCGATTGTCGCTTCGGTTACCATCCGCGCAGTTGTAACGGTCAGTCGCAACCTCCAGTTGCGACCCTTCGAGTCCCTTCGCGTTCTTTGTCCACCCCCTCGTGTAACCTCCGTTGACTCGTGTACCCGTTACGATCTTCCTCGAGTGTGGTGTTACACTTCATAAACGCTTAAGTCCTTTGAGATATTTCCAACAATGACCATGCCCTGCATGCCCTTGTACATGGGATGATCTGAGGCCCAGCAGCATCCACCCAGGGTAGACCCGTCAAAGGATTGGCCCTCTGCGAAAAATGAAATCAACGGTATATAGCAAAGTTTCGTGATCCTCGTTTACAAAGAACGACGAGGTAAGACCTCAGGAATATGCACCCTCTCCCTCGCCTTAAGAGAAATTATAAATTACCAGGTACCTGTAACGAAAGAGCTCTTCACCATGTACGCTCGTAGGTGCTTAGCAGTACATCCGAACCTCTTCCCACACCCCCGTGCTGTAGTGTCGCGATGTTTGACGCAAAATTGTTTAGTGCGGTTCCACGTGGTGCGACGGGTGCTTAGGAGTGCTGAGGGTTGTGATGTATCATGGTACAGCGCCACAAAGCCCATAAAACGTGCACAAGTGCTTCGGATTCAATCAAGAGCGTGCCAACAAAACGTCCCAGAAATGTTGGGCAAGATAGGCGGAGCAATGCAAGCATCATTGGCTTGACATGCTCTTTCACCAGCCTTACAGTCTTCACCCTAAACACTAAACGATTTCTCCTAACCACATCTTATCCTAAAATGGAACAGAACGCGAAAAGGCTAGCAGAAAAAATGGAACATAGAGGTAGAGCCCAGGTTGAGAGCCTCATGAATCGTGATGCTTGTGTCATGCCTAGTCCAGCCGACAACGACCTGTCTCAGCCAAACCATGCAGATTGTGCCGTCTTGATGCACAGCCTGCAGCCTTTCGCAACAGGCAGCATCCCTGTGCACCAGCACAGAGCACCAGCAAAAGGCAGCATCATCTGCAGTAGCAGTAGCAGTAGCAGATGCAAAGACACCAGGAAGAGGCGTCTCCAGGAAAGCACCGAGCTGACTGCCCCCTGGCACCAGTCTTCACACGGGTATTAAACTGACACTTTGTCAGTGGTAGCACAGCAACAATCCAGCCTATGATGTGACCGCACTCCCCCATCAGTCAGCTACATCCTGCCCAGTTGTTGCACGCACAAATATGCCGCTAGTGCTGCACTCAACTGTCAGCTGCTGCTGTCGAAACTCCAACTCCTATACCCTTGACGGGAACTAACATCAGCTGCACCCTCCAATCATCACTTCCATCCCCCCCCTCCCCCCAACTCCTCTTCGTCCCTCACACCTCTCCACCCGTTAACCCTGTCCAGTCTCCTTCCTAAACCCGTTCCACACACCCTACCAATTCACATCCCGATCCAAACCCCATCCGCGTCACCAACAGCCCCTATCCAGGTCAACCCTCTTCAAGCAGACAGCCCTGCCTCTCTATTTCCGCTCTCCACCCGCACTCCACCCGCCCTTCACCCGCCCTTTCCCCCCGGCCCCTCGGCCCCTGTGGAGTCCGCGCCTGCCTGTGTGAGCTCCGGCAGCGAACCCCCCATGGCGGCGCGCTCGCTCCGCCGCTTCTCCACAAGCGCGCGCAGGAACTCCATCACGCGCACGGCATGCTGCAGCCCTATCATGGGGTCGATCACCTGCACCGCAGCACGGCAGGGCGCAGACGGAGGGAGGGCACGAGGGGAAGAACGAGAGAAGGCGTGAGGACGGCAAAGGGGAGATAGACAGTGGCGGAAGGCAGACGCGGAGTAGAGAGCGACTGGTAGAATCACGAAGCCACGTAGCCCTGCTGCAACACTGCCTGCTGTTCACCAAATACGACATGCAACACCACAGCAGCAACCCCGCACCCGCCCATGCACACACGCATGCCCCTGACCTGGGTCATATTGGGCGCGAAGACGAGCGCTATATTCCTTGCGTTCATCTTGTTCTCCGCCTCGTGCTCCACCACGTCCGCCATGAGGTTCACCACCCACTCCAGCAGCTCCCGGTGGATGGCCGGCAGCGTCGCTGCCAGCGCGCACGCCGCCGCCTCGCCCGTCGCCCCCGCCACCTGGTGCGGCGAGAACAGGTCTAGTAGCCCCTCCGGCAGCTCGCGGAACCACGCCTGCCGGGGGGTGGGGGGGAACGCGCGCGGGGAAGGGGTTGCGAGGAGGTGACGGGGATAGCTCATTCGGCAATATGCTGCTGAAACGCAAGAGAGAGCAGCCTCATACAAGCCATTCGTGAAACGGGCAGCAATGCGGCGGAGAAGCTATGCGCCTATGCGCCTGTGCGCCCCTGCAACAGTGCGCGTGCGCGAGCCAACCGCCCCCCCTTGTTATTTACCTTGATGAGCCCTGCGAGGCTGTGCACGTCGAGGTTGGGCGGCAGCACGCCCGAGCTCAGCTGCGACCGCACGCCGTCCTCGTCCTCCATCTGCGCCGCAATGCGGAATATGCCCTCCACCTGCCCGCGCGGAGAGAGTGGGGGGCGCCGGCGCAAGAGCGGGGACGGCGGGGAACGGGGGACGGGGGGGTGGGGAAGCCGGAAGAAGGGATGTGAGGTTAAGTGAGATTACTACTGGCGCGGACAGGCGGAAGAAGGGACGGGGTCGCGCTGGTGGGTGGAGGAAAGCAGTGCACCAAGCATGTAGAGTTGAAAGTGGGGGAGCGAGCGGGAAGGACTTTATTGGCAGGGCATGTCGCATGTCGCATGTTGCGAGGGGAGGCATGGGAGTTCGAGTACGGAAGGCCAACGCGAGAGCGAGAGGGAGAGTGCGAACGTGTGTCCGAGCGTGAGAAAGAGCGAGGGAGGGGAGGGGGAAAGAGTTTACAGAGAGGCCGTGGAGTTGGTAGAGTCTGGACTGCAGCAGCAGGAGGATGGTGGGAACGCCGGTGCCGTGTGCATCGATGGAGTAGTGCAGCGCCTCTGGCCGCACCCCGAACACTGACAAACTGCACGCCGGCACGCGACGGAACGATCGAAAGAGCGCGAGCGCGAAAGAGCGGTGGGGTTGGGGGAGGGGGAGAGAGAGAGGGGGGGCGGGGGGGGATGGGAGGGGAGTAAACCGACGGCGAAACGACGACATGGTGAAGGCACGGAGAATAACGGGAAAAGTAGAATGGCATTGGAGAGCGGGTTGGCCCGGGTACAGATCGTGTCTGTGCCTTCACCATGACATGGGGAGTGCACGATCTGTACTGAAAACCCACAATCCACAAGGTACATCGACGCCGGAACTCATAACTGGTGAGACGGGGCACCAGACCCCAGAAAAACTTCGCCGGAGCGCGATCGACGAAATAACAAAACGCCGAACATGCTGGAAGGGAAAGAATGCATGCCGAAAAAAAAATCCACAACAACAAATGATTTTTGAGGCGCCTCTAAAAAAAAATCCACAACAACAAACGTTGCGGGAAAACCTTCAGTAGCCACGGGAAAGACGCGAAGGCAAGCACGGAGATAAATCCCCAGCGCACGCCATGCAATGTAGCCACGCAATGATGACCTGGCGCTGGGCGGCGGGGATCACCTGGCGCTGGGCGGCACGGCGTCGACATGGGCGAGGAGGTCGTCGGGCAGGCCGATGAAGCCCTTGTAGCGGTCGAAGGTGACGTGCACCACGTGCTTCACGTCGAAGGGCGCCCCTATCTCCATCGCCGTCCGCGCTCCCGCTGCTCCTTCAACATCCGCGCGCCCGCCGCTGCTGCTCCGACATCCGCGCACGGCTGCTCCCGCGGCCAGTCCTAGGGGAGAGGTTTACTGGTGATGCGCGAAGGAGGGGGAGAGAGATAGGAGAGGGCGACGGAGGGCGAGGGAGGGAGACGAAGGGAAACGGAAGGAAACGGAGAGACACGGAGTGAGAGGGAGGGTGACGGAGGGAGACGGAGGGAAAAAGAGGATCGGGATCGGATTGACGTCGTGAACGGCATTAGCCAGGAGTGCGAGAGAGGAAGAGTGGTGGAGCGGCATGGGAAGAATATGAACGAGAATCGGGTCTGGCCACAGCTGCTGCAACATTAGATAGTGTCGGCAATGGGGTCGCGCAACGACCAGGCGGTTTGAGAAGGAAGAACTGCGGTGCGGATCGGATAGCGCAATGTCGCTCGTGTCGAGTAACGTATGCATCCTGACCTACAGAAAAGGAAGACAGAGCCAAAAGCGGAAGGCCAGGGAAAGCGGCAGGGGACAACGAGCAACTTCGACCTCCGACTGACCGTTGAGCTAAAGCTACTAAAGCTGAAACTGTTTTAGTCTCAGGATCTGCGCCTCAGAGCGTGTCCCCCTGATAGGGTCATAGCTGCTGGCCCCTCCGGGACCCGCATCCCGAAGCACCCCACCAACTCGAAATGCGCGTCTGCAGCCTATTATCGGCGCTTCAGACGGCGATCTCTGCTTCTTTGGGAGTAATCGGCACAGGACGTAAGAAAACAACTCCTAGTAGCAACTTCTTCAGTGTCCTAACGAGCAGAACCTAGAGACTTAGGTGGAGCAGTCAGCTTAGTTGCCTATGGTAACTAACCCTAGTGGCCCAGGCTCGTGCCCTCTACCAGAATCAGCACCAGCAGCGGTCGGTGGGGGAATGGCTTGGAGCAGGCGCGCGCGGGGCAGAAAGGGGAAGCACGGGGGGTTGTCTGGCTGCGGGGTACTGTAGGGGAGGAGGGGGGATGTCGGATGCGGGGAAATATGTGAGCGCGGGTGGCAGGGGGATGGGGGGCTTTGCCTGGCGGAGGGGGTTTGCCTTATCGAGTCGAGACCGTCCCCCCCTCCTCCCAGCCAGTTGATGGTGCTCGCGAATGGCGTGCGCAGAGCGCACGCGCACCTCGGCCTTGAAAGTTGCCGGGGGAGGTTCCGCTGGCCTTTGGTGGTTTTGAAGGAGCAGGAACTACATGCCCGAGACGTGCAGGTTTTGGCTGTCAAAGTACCGCAAGCTGGCAACTGTGGATCTGATCTGAAAATACCACCTGATAAAAATCCGTTTTACATGTAGAACACAATATATTTCACTAGTAAATAAATGTTAAGAATTATGTTAGAGAATGATCAATTATTTTACAACCAGTCATGCATTTATTGCGCCATAACGTCATGGGCCCTAGACGAACGGCGAATCGGTTCCAGAGACTTCAGCTCCACTTCATGCATATCGAATAAGTCTTCATCCTCATCGTACTCATCCTCTCCGCTCCCATGTGGTAAGTCGTTGCAGTCACCATCCAACCTGCCCTCATCCAAGTTTTCAAATATATGCACCTCAACCACCTCATCAAAGCGCACGGTTCGTCGGCGGTTACCAGAGGCACCACGGGCCATGGGGGTCTCTCTGAGGAAAACCACTGCCTCCTCTTCTGGCAAGACTTCCGCATGTCCGGCTGCAGGGTTTCTGCTACGGCTGTACTTATGCCCCCCCTCCCCACAGTAGCTCACAGCTCCTTCACCATGCCGCAGTCGTCTTGAACTATGCCTTTTCTGCGACGCTTGTCTCCATTTCAGAACGTCAGCGATACCTCCGTCCAGATCCAGACTGCCTGCACTGGAAAGGCACTCCTCTCCATCGAAGCTCCCGAACCCGCTGCTGCCACTGCTGCTGCTCCTCCTGGCGTGGAACGCAGGAGATACCGACAGCGCTGACTGAAACAGATCCACCATAGCGCCGTCTGCATCTGCGCCATGGCTCCCAGCAGAACACACCGATGATGCCTCCTCAGAGAGGCACAGCCCGGGAACACGATCCATGGGGGCAACGTTATCCGGTTCAAACAAGAACAGATTCGTCAAACTCCCTTGCTTCCGGGCAGATGCGTCCTGCTTGGGAGACCCCTTGGTCGGTGACACGTGCCCGCGATGCCTGGGTGGCTTGGGAGAAGCGGCGGCGGGAGGTGGACGTCCCCTGGGAGGACGAGGGTGCACCGGCGCCTGCACTTGGTGCTTGGGTTCGGCCACCCCTAGTCGTGCGGGCATCGGCTTTGTCTGGTGCTGTTGCTTGGAGCTAGGGCTGCATGCAGACCGCTGCTCCACTGGCAACCACTGCTGACGCTGCTGCTGCTGCTGCTGCTGCTGCTGCTGCACGTGTTCTAGTTGATACGGGGGAAAAGAGGGAAGCGCCTCTTTCCACGCTTCATGTGCTTCGATGAGCAGCCGAGAGGTGGGCTTGGCTGCCAGTATGTACCCGCCTGATGGGCGGAAGGAGGCTGGGTCAACATCTGCTGCAAGACCGCATAGGAAGAACAAAGGCGCACACGAGGAGAACGAGAGCCGTCAGGGAGACGGCAGGACGACCGAGCTAAAGCGAATAACGTCGAGAACCGTCGAAACAAGCGTTTGCAGAAACAGTTTGGGGGGGACTAGCTAGTGCTTATTCCACTGCGAATCACGCGTCAAAGACTGCGAAACACGCGTCAATATTCACGAGCCGTACCTTGTGCAGGCATGTGCGGCGGCAGGTACACGTCTTCCAGCCACCGCCTCACACCGGACACGATCCCCTCGATCGTCTCCTCGCTCGCTCTCCGCATGAACCGCCATACGTCCGCCGCTTCAGGATCATCCGCCGCTATAGTCACAACCACCCACATCATGCGACCATAACCCCCATCAGTACTACCCCGGCTCGCGATCACGCGACGGTTCTCATCCGCGTCCGCTCCCCCCGACCGCGCGCCGTCAGAAGCGGCGATCTCGGCGGAGACGGCGTCACCGTCGCCCCGCGATCCTGTGACGCATACTGTCATGGCGGCGAGGGGGATAACGCGTCGCACGTCGCCCGTCCACGTCTCATTCAGCCCGATCTCCACCGCCATCATCGGCATCCCGCACGCCTCTGCGCCTTCCACCTTCTCCGCCCACGACGCCTCCGCCTCCCCAACTCCTTCCGCGGACAGGAGCGCGCGGGGAAGCTCCAGCGCGCACGTCTGGGGGAGGAACCCGCAGCTGCAGGGCGCGGCGAGGGCCAGCGGGCGCGCAAGGCGCGGAGGGGAGGAACTGGGGGATCGGCTGCCAGCGGAACGGGGGGTAGTACCAGAGTTTCTGGTGGTAGTGGCGGTGGGGGCGCGGCGCAAGCGGAGGGGCGTGGCGGGCTCGTCTGCGGCGACATCGAAGGCCACGACGGAGCCGCGCGGCGTCTGACACACGAAGCGAAGCGGCGCGGGACACGCGGATCGACGCGGCGACGGCGAGAGGAGCTCCGCGAAATTGGCGTGCGCCCTGCCCGGCAGGGAGAGAGGATTAGGGGGTGACGTCACGCGGCCAGGCTCGTTGACAAGGCACGGCGCGCTAGGGTCGGATGGAGGTGAGGAAGGCGGAGGAACGGGGACGGAAGCCGGGAGGGGTAGCTGATGCCAAGGGGATATTTCGGCGCCGTGCGCGCTCCTAAACTTAAGGCGATAACCTGACGTTCCCGGTAAACCACTCCCGATAGAGTCACACTCGCACTCCTCCTCCGATTCCAGCATCGACATACTCATGCTCCCATTGCTAACGATGCTGCTGCTTCGGCTCACGCTGCTAGTGACGCTGCTACAGCTGGAGCTGCTGCTCGTGCGGATCATGCGATGACGGTCGCTCCCGCTGCTAGAGCTGCTACAGATGCTACTATTGCTGCCGCGGTCCCCGGTTGACTTCTGTAGCCCCGGCCTGCCGCCTCTAGGAGATCGATTCCTCTCTGCGTCGCTTCTCCTATGGCCGCCCTGCTTGCTGCCTTCTTGTCGCGCTGTCGCACGACGTCGCCACTCGCGTGCCGCTTGCGACACCGTGCTGGCTTCTGCGACGGTAGGCGACGTCGTCATGTCCTCAATCACGCCATCTTCCGCCGACCAGATACCTCGCGCCATGTCACTACTGACTAGGGGATTTCTGTGCTGCTTTTCCGCGGAGGAGATTCGGACGGGGCGTGCGGTTTCCAATTGAGGGGAATAAGGGCTGGGAGGGGTGGATGTTGCCGTCTGTCGAAGGGAAGTTCGCGAAGATCGCGGAGAACGCGGCGAGGACTGGCTGTGGGGTGGCATGTCAACTATATCGGCGCACTGCTATTGAGAAACCCCTTGTGTCCAAACGACTTTCTGGCCTGAAGTAAGCTATCAGCAACCATCCGTGAAGCAAGGTAACCTACCAAACGAGGAACCTGATAGAGGGTGAAGCGAACACAGTCCATCCAACAAGTTCGGTTTTGGCAGGGGAGGGGAAGGGCTTGTTCCTAACGAAACGACCTCCTCCTCTCCCTGAGGAGGGCAGGCAGGGCACCCATTCATGCATCCGCTCAAGTCAAGGCGAACAAGAGGAAGGAAGAAACGAAATGGTGCAGAACAGAATCAAATTGGTTGATCGGAGCGCCCACTTGTCGGTGGAAAGCGAACACTAGAGACACACAACCGCACTGTGCAACTGCCTGCGTCTGGGGAATTCTGTGAGGTCCTGATTCGGCTGTACACTCGAAAACATTCCCGGAGACCCAAACCTGTTGTCGACAACCAGAACTCTCTACAGTATTTGCAAATAAGATCAGAAAAAAGCAACAGAAATTTGATGCAGAGCGACATGCTTAAAGGATTCCAAAACTTAACCTCCATCACTTTCAATTCTGAAACACGTCGATTTCTATCCAACCCAAGCAGCATTTAGGGGGGTCAGTCGTTAAAAAAACAACAACCCAAGCTGCGGGACCAAGAGGATTCCCGCGTGCATTTTTGGAAGCGACGGATGATCCGGTGGGCTGGGCAGGGTGAACGCGGTGAATTGTCGGGCCGACAGGCTGCTAAAAAGGGACCAAACAAGAACAATGTGTGTGGGTGGGGCCCGGACGAAGCAGTGGATCTTTCTTGACCCCGGTCCCGACTTCCCGAATCTCTCCCGACTCCCTAGTCGTTTTGCCTGAGCCCTGGGCTTGAAACTGAATCACCCACAGGTGTTCAATTAGAAACGGACACAATGTAAGGTGGGAAACGGTGGCAGAAATTGGTTGAATGCGCAGGTGGTGTCGAGCGGCGCTGCGACACTGTAGGAGAATGCTGCAACACCCATCCATCTTTTGCCGAGAAATTCGCATTTCACACATGCATGTAGCATGAACATTCTTGGGAAAGTATATCGGCGCTAAGTATTAGGGGCCTCGCTAACATGTACGGTCAGTGCCACGATAGAAACAATCAGAATTAGTGAGTTGGCAACATGTTTCATCAGTCGGGTTCCACCGTGACTCAGAAACTGCAATTAAAAAGTTCCACGAATGGTGAGTACAAGCAACCCCCCGCCCGACTCCGAATGTTTTCCCGCTCGCGCCAGACCAATGTCGTCATCATTGTGGCTGGCGCGATATTATTCCCGAGCTCCAGACGCAGTTCGAGAGAAAAACGCGCACAATACCCAAATAAAAATTAATTTAGAATACTGTAGTCCAGAAACACGAAAACACGATTTTGTTTCAAAACGCATACTTTCGTCACGGTGTGTAGCGCGTCCTGCGATGCGTACGAATAACAGCTTGGTCTCTACCGCATTTACGCCCCCCTAAAAAAGTTAGCCATAAACTTGTCGTCATTCCCGAGTCTCCTGAAAACATTCGGGGTGGCTACTAAGGTTAGTTCTGTTTAGAAATACTGAGTATGGCGAAAAGGTGTGGCTACTAAGTGTGGCGAAAATGAGTATTTTAAAGGCCCATCCGAATGTCTCCATCATTGGGTACTAAGGTTTTTTTTTTTTTTTTTGAAAATGAGTATTTTAAAAGCATATCAAGGTTCTCTCAGCGCCACATTCGTGTCGGTTGCTTTAAAATTTGTATTCATTTCATGATTGTTTATCAACAAATATATTTACCAGAAAAACCTTTTCCGCCAAATCACGACCCTACATATCATGTGATGCTCGAAAAAAAATTAGAGCACGCGCAATATAGTTTAATATTCATGCCTCATTAGCTTAGCGCCGATCCATGATAGATTTGTCCTTTTGTGTTCAATTCTTTCGTTTTCGTGCGCTTTGTAATTTTTGAAAATACGTCGACCCGATGTGCGCCCAATTTAGGCCCAACTAGCTTGTGTGAGAAATTCGCAAAGTCGATTTTGGAAATTTGTGAGCGCGATGTCCAATGAAATTTACTTTTGATATTTTTTGCATTTTTATCTTGAACTACGCTTGGAGCTCAGGAAAAATATCGCGCCAGCCACAATGATGACGAAATTGTGCTGGCGCGAACGGGAAAACATTTCGAGACGGGCGGGGGTTGCTTTTGCTCACCATTTGTGAAACATTTTCCTGCTGTTTCTGACTAACGGTGGAGCCCGACTGATGAAACATGTTTCGAACTCGCTAATTATGATTGTTTATATTGTTTTACTGACCGGACATGTTATCGATGCCCCTAATACTGAGCGCCAATATACTTTTCTAACATTCTTATCCTTCTTACCCTAGAAGCCAATTCTCTCCTTAGAGCATCAATGTGTTCCCTAGCATATGCTGGCGAATGCTCGAAGGGAAGAGGAGTCGAGAGAGCCATGGAAATGTGCTGGTTGTATTCCATGTGCGTATGCCAGGAATGGGACAGGAAAGGTAGACATAGGATGTCTTACGATAAGGAATCTATTGCATTCTTGAAAGTGACACTTGAGCCTTAACCCTTGTCGAGTCCAAGCTTATGATGCGAAGCACGAAGTGCAACGATCGTTGATCGTTAACCCATAGTCGAACCGACAAAAGTCCAAGGGTCCGTTACGATAGCAAGGACACATAACTGACCCTGTAATATAGCACAGGCAGTTACCCGAGTCGTGTACAGTTACCCGAGTCGACCTCAAAGGGAGTGCACCCCTGTTAAGTGCATCTTAGTTAGACCCTTCACATTCTTTTGTATCACTATATGAACCCTGCATTTTATTGTTGTAATCAACACTGTTATATTACATTCACTCTGACACAGTTCATCGAACCAAACAATCACTTCCGCAAAGCGCACTACTGCAATTCAATCATGAAGATCCTACGGACTGTATTGGATCGCTTCATGGTAAACAGAGCCCATCAGGATTCTACGCACGACACGTTTGATCAGTTTCAAATTTAAATATCGTGGCGCCAGTGACTCGTTCCCGCCACAGAATGGCCCCAGGCTCGGGATCACAAGGGCAAGGAAGCCCTCCTCCCGAAGCACCTGCAAAAACCACAAATCCGGCGGCAACAACTTCCGTCCCAAGAGGACTCCTCGAAAGATTGCTCCAACGAATGTCAACTCTTGAAGAATGACTATAATCTCTCAAGATCGACTACTCGAGCACCGCTCGCCAAACCACTGAAACGCAACCAACCTCTGCACCGCTGTTGTTAGGATCAGAACAAGCTCTATCTTCGACGAGTGCGATTTCTACACTTGAGTTTTGAGTTCGAGCTAAACTGCAGAGCGGTCAAATCTGCTGCTACTTTGACAAAATCTTACCCCTGATCGACGACCGATATCGAAGACGCAAAACAACGATACTATGACGAATCGCTCATGGCGTACATCGTCATTTTACGGAACTTACATATTCTCTTCCGAGAAACTCGGAATTCGAACGTTCAAAACGCGCGCCACTGCGGCACGAGACTCCTAGCTGTACCTGACGAACATCTATCACCCGAAGGACACTGTGTCGTCGAGTTGACTGTGCGGCCAGCTACTCAAAATGAAGATGGTCTCAGGAGTGAAGGCCAACACTTACATCAATCGCTGCTGAAGCATCCGTGACCAGATCGTCAAGCTCATGAACACTATCACTGAAGATATGTTCGTGACGATCGTGCTCGCTGTACTTACCGCCGAATGCGACCTTGCAAGGCACAGCTACGCCAGCAGGGAGAAATTTCCGAGCGATCCTCTACGCGACACTGCTGGCTGAGCAGCAGGATATGGACCTCTACAAGGAGACAGCTCCGTGCAAAGAGAGGCCTGCCTTCTACTCGGACCAGAAGGAGCCACGTCGCGATACGCGCAATTGCCGCTACTTTTGCAAATACTGCATAACCTTCGGACACTCTACCGAGCGCTGCCAAAACCGAGCCTGAAGTAGCGCAAGACCATCCTACATGCCTAACTCAATGGGGTCACTCCTACAAGAGGAGACCCATCGACACTTTTCCCCAAGACCCGCGCCAAACCAATCGCCCGTCCCACACAGACCAGCAACCAGTCCAGCACCCTCCTGTATCCTCGAACCCTCGTCCGACTCAGCCAGGCTCACATGGTCAACCTATCGATCGCCAAGTCTTCATGGCGATGAGAGCTCATGATCCCACACGTCAAGCAAATCGACGTCGCCGCGCGCCACAGCCACGCCCAAATCAAGGGGACTTCGAACTGGCTATATTAGCCCTGAACTACAACAATCCCTACAATGAACACAGCAGCTACGAGATCGATGAAGAAGAGCTGGAGTGGAACCTTCCCATTCCCCTACTGGAGCTGACACCTTACATCACCGACACTACATCCGGAGGCGACAGACAAGGCTGGGATGACTTCCCGAGGGATCATCGCTTGCAAAAGTCAAACAAGACCTAACTGCTGACTCCGAGAATCGCGATGATCGCTCGGAACAACCGCTACAAATACAACGCCGTGTATATGGAAAGTTGTTGCGGACAGCACATGGTCACCTCTGCACGCTTCATCTCCAATGCAGTTCCCACCCCTGTAGCCAACAACGAACAGATGGTGGCAAGGCACCAGGGAATAGTCGTCCTACAGGCACACAACACCTTGACGCACATCACCATAAACAACGTGCTCATCGTTCATAACCTGCGCTACAACCTCCTCTCAACGGCGCAGCTGATGTCTTGCGATGTTGAGATTAGCACCGACCCTAAGACACGGAATCTCTTGCTACACGACCGCAACCCACATACTGTAAGCCCAACAAAGAGCCAAACCCATAACAGTACATCGATAGGGCACCAGCAGTCGACAGAGTTTATGTTCTAGACTTCGACTTCCCCAAATGCAACGGCGATAGCCACAAGCTGATCAACCTTGCCCCTCTCAACTTCACCTACCAAGAGGAGGAGTGGAAACACCCCGTCGGCTGCCCGTGGGTCACCCACCACATGCACCCATCTGAGACGGATCTGCACGGCCCTGGACTAGACGGCATCTGCTGTACCTGTCAAACTCCATTAGCCTCTTCCCGCAACATCGCTGGAACGGGACTCAAAACTCTCGAGGAAGAGGAGCTGGAGTCCGTTCTCACTCTAGAGGTCGGCATGACAACCTTAGAACTTGCTGCAACCATCACCATTGTTCCTCCCCGAGGAACCACAGACCCCCCCCATGACTCAAGGCAACACTTAGAACGCGTCCTAGCCTAAGTAGGATCAGACTCATTTGACAAAACCAGACGATCAAACCCATGGGAGCGACACACTCACATGGAGTTCAACCCTGATTGGAGAGAGGCCACGCCACGCAAGGCAGCAGACCTAACCACCAAACTTACGATGCAGTGGAGGAAAATATGGTCGCAGCATGAGCAGCATGGGAAACGGCAAAAACAGGAGCTAGAGCAGAGGCAACAACAGCATCGGCAGCAAAAGCAGTAGCGAAGGCAGCAGCAGCAAGAGCAGCAGAAACGGCAGCAGCAGCAGCAGCAGCAACCGAAGGAGCAGAGGGAGTAACAGAGGAAACAGCAGCAGCAGAACCAGAAACCCCACACCCCGAACCCAGAGTCGAGATAGGTGCACCACCTTCCTGAGCTCCGAGCAGCTGGGGGGGCTCTCAAAGTAGAGGCACCTGGGGAGGAGTATCAGTGGAAGACACTAAGTGGGGTACCACCAACCCTCCCCAACAACCCTGGCCTAACACACCAACAGCTGAAGAATGGGACAGAGGCCCGAGACTTCCCTGGTTCCGCAATACCTCTACAGGAAAATGTCGTCTGAACCACGAGGAATGGTACGGCTGAGGAGATGATGAGGACAACGAAGGCAAAAGGGGGAGAATCACACCAGATGCGTACCTTCACCTTGGTCGCCCTCCTCAAGCCCTTGGAACTTAGGCCGAGTACGATGAAGTCCCTGATGGGGAAAACACTCTACTCTGGAGAAGCTATCACGGATCTCCACCGCCCGAACCTCACAGCCCTCTCCCACTGTCACCAACTCTTGTCGAACCCAACGCTGAAGCTGATATCCAAGAAACCGAAACCATCGAAGGTCCGCCACAGCTGCACAGGACTAGAATCATCGAAGGTCCACCAACGCCTCACCTCTTTTGCCTGAGAACAGATCCTGAAGAACTTGACGAAAGCGCAGCAGGACCAAACAGCTCACCCCAAGAAAAGAGGTCACAGCGGACCTCATAGACCACGAGTTCCTCGCTCTCACCATCACAGCCCCTGCGTTCGCTGACACACCTCCAGCACCTCCTCCTGACGATTCCCGCCAGTGCTACCAGCGCACTCGAGAACATTGCGCCTCCAGGGACAACTGGCACCAGCGGCTTGGCCACCCCTCCAAAGTCACCCTCAACAACTCGCTCAGGGCCAACGTCTTCGCCCCTGGAACACTCCTAGATGCTAACGGGCATGAGCTTCAAGAAAGCCAAGCCCCGTGTACCTACACAGTCTGCCCCAAAGCTGCCCTCACACACAGCCCATTCCCAGATCTCCCTCGCTGTCCCAACCGCTACACATCACTGGAAAAAGTCTACAGCGACTATCTCGTCCTTACACAAGTGGGACTCCATGGGGAGCAGTACACCCTCACCTTCATCGACGGTGCCACCCACTACGTCTGGGTAGTCAATGTCCAAGACTGAGGCGGAGTACTCAATATCTTCCAACCTTGGCTTGCCCTTGCTGAGCTTCAGTCTAGAAAGAAACTGAAATACTGGCAGACGGATGGAGCTCGGGAATTCCAGAGTGAGGAACTACAGACCCACCGCCAAGAACTCAGGATCGAGCACATGCTCTCCCTTCCCTACGCGCACCCGCAGCAAGGAGTTGCTAAACGGACCAACCAAACTCTACAAACCAAAGAACATGCCATGATGCTCCAGTCTGGACTACCCACAGAATACTGGCCCTACGCAATGCACCACACTGTCCGACTGCACAACCTACTGTCCACCACCACCAACGACAGGAACCTCTCCCCCTACATGGACTAGACAAGAAAGGCAGCTGACACCACCATGCTGCGAGTTTGGGGCTGCATGGTCCAGTACCGCCCTCATCAGGCCACCACCAGCAAGTTCAAAAGGCGAGCTTACTGGGGGTGCACCTTGGCATGTCTCACGAGTACCAGGCATGGACAATCCTTGACCTGGAGAACTCCATCACTGTACCCTCCATGGAATTCCTCTTCTACGAAGGACTCACCCTGAAGCAGTTCGAAGACGATCGCCACGCAAATCGCCAAGCAGCGTACGTACAAGGAGAGCGTAGCTTCAACCTCTCTAGAAGACGAAATCGCCGCTACACCTCTGGACCTGGACCCACCTAACAAACACCCAGAGGAAACCCCTCACTTTGACGATAACGACGATGCGGATGATGCCCTACTCGACCCCTCATGTGACACTCTGCGCCACGACGGCACCATAGGCACCCTCGCGGACAACAACGCTTCTGACTCAGACGATGACATGCAAGAGGTCACTAACGACGGTCGGTTCTCTGGCCTCCACATCCTCGACCTTCATTCTGCAGTCCACAAAAGCCCCTCCGTGATCAAGCCTTTTCAAAACACCACGTCAGGCTCTCACCAAACCACATCGCGCCGAATGGCATAAGGCCATGGACGCAGAAATCGCCGCATTACGCGCAAGTGACACCTGGGTCCTAGTCGACCGTGCAGCAAAGAATGGGGAGGAAGATACTCTATGGAAAATGGGTCTACCGAGTCAAAACGGATGCCCAAGGGAACGTTGAGCAATGCAAGGCTCTATGGGTCGTAAGAGGCTACGACCAACGCCACGGCATCGACTTCGACCTCACCTTCGCGCCTGTCAGCCTTCACACCCCTGTGAGCATCCTGCTTGCCATCGCAGCATGACGGCACCGTGAGCTCCGACAGATTGACGTAAAAAATGTGTTCCTTTATGCAAAAGTTTATACTCCGATCTTTGTAGAGCAACCTTACACCTACGGCAACGGGGAGCCATGCATCTGCCAGCTGCAAAAGTCCCTTATGGGATTAAGCAGGCACCCCACCTCTGGCAGCAGCACCTCCACAAAATCATGCTGGAGATTGGGTACCTCCAGCTACCTCATGACCCCGGAATGTACCGTCTCAACTTCCGCTGGGAATACATCCTCCTCCGGGTCTATGTCGACGACCTGCTCTACAATGGCACCAAACTCGACCTGCTTGATCAGTTCAAGCGCAGCCTAGGCCAGCGCGTCGACATCACTACCTCCAAGACCGTGGCTTAGTTCCTCGGACTCAACATCTCCTACACGCCACAGGCCATCCACCTCTCTGCATCGAATTATGCCAAGACTATCGCGAAGAAATTCAACCTAGCGCCAGCGCCGCTCTCCACACCCTATGGCACTCCCGCCGCCGGCTCCCTGCCCGACACCAAGACACTCGCTCCTGCTGCTCACCAACTCTACCAGCGGCAGCTCGGATGCCTACTGTTCGCTGCTGTCACTTGCCGGCCCGACCTATCCTACATCGCCAGCCAGCTCGCACAGTAGTCTCGACAACCTGAGGGGGAGAACCTCCTAGAACTACAGCGAGCTCTCCTCTATTTCATCTCGACTCCCCACATCAATCTTACCTACTCCACCATTACCACACCTAGATTTTAACTTACTGGCTACGTCAACGTAGACCATGCCGCAGATCTCGCTAACCGCCGCTCTCGCACATAATTTCTCTTCCGACTAGAGCCTACTGAACCCATCTTGTCACAGGATCAAATGCGCTATGCATAGTGCGGAAGAGAATGTCAACTATAGAATGAATATTGAATGACAATCCTAAGGAACAACACAATTTATAGGCGAGCACTTGCGAGGTCCTCTGAGCGAGGCGCGAGTCCAGCTAAAATGTGAATGTTCCAGAAAAGAACCATTACCCTCTAAAAGCAACTGTTCCACAAGCACTAGATGATCCGCCGAAATACGGTGAGCACTCGGTGCACGCAACATTTAATCTAGATAACACATACAGTACACTTATGATAACCAAGAATAATCCAAATAACCACTTTGGATAAAATAATCCGAGTGATTACCTAGGAGAAAGGACTAAGCTTGATTAAGTACTGTCGGAGAGCATGGGTAGTGTTTCCCATATCGGATTCCTGAACCCAAATGTCCTCAGACAGGTCATAGCCCTTCCAACGGATGAGGAACTCGATGTGACCATGGCGTCGGCGTTGATGAGCACGTACAGACTCGATCTCGTACTCAGTTTCTCCGTTGACGATGATAGGAGTAGGCGGCGGAAGCTGTCGTCCTAAGGAGAGGTGATTCGGGACCTTGTAGGGTTTCAGGAGTTGCACATGGAAGGCATTGTGAATCCTTCATGTGGTCGGGAGTTTAAGGCAGAATGTTACAGGATTAACCTGTGCCTTAATGATGAAGGGTCCACAAAACTGAGGCCGAAGCTTAGAAGGGATGTGGCTAAGGTCATGGTTCATGGTGTCCAACAGAACAGAGTCTCCAATCTGTATCTCATGGTCCCTTCGGCTCTTATTTGCTTGTCCTTTCTGGGAGGTTTGCACCTTCTGGAGGCGCTTCTGCGTAGTATCCTAGAGTTGATGCATGGTAGTGACGAAGTCGTGTGCTGGTTGGATTTGAGCAGGAACAAGAGGTTGTTGTGGAGTGAGGGGATGCCGTCCGTAGCAAAGAAAGAACGGTGTCTGTCCCATATTTGAGTGGGTAGCATTGTTGTATGAGAAGTCCAGTAGAGGTAGCTGCTGGTCCCACTTGCTTGTTTCGTCCTTGTAGGCAACCCTCGGCAACTGTTCCACGATCTGGTTGAATCGTTTTGTCTACCCATCAGTCTGTGGATGGTAGGCAGATGGCATTGCCAGACGGGTTCCAAGGAGTCGCATGAGCTCCTTCCAGATTTTGCTAGTGAACTTTGGATCTCTATCAGAAACCAAAGTCCTTGGGATCCCATGGAGGTAAGTGGCTCGGTGGAAGAATAGTCGAGCTGTTTCTTTGGTAGTGGCGTTCGCATGCGTGGCAATGAATTGGCCCATCTTTTAGAATTTGTCGATAACCACCATGATTGCATCCTGTCCTGCTGCCGTACGCGGGAGTCCTAGGATGAAGTCCAGGCTCACTGTATGCCAAGGCTGTTCAGGAACGGGCAGTGGTTGGAGGAGGCCAAGCTTCTTCTACTTACTGCTCTTCATTTTCTGGCACGTGTCGCAAGATGTAACAAACTCTTGGACGTCTGTCACCATATTCGGCCAGTAGTAATATTTGGCGACGCCTGTCAGGGTCTTGTTGCTGCCGAAGTGTCCAGCTAATGCAGTGTCTTGATATTCCTCTAGCAATAGCTGCTTCAAGGGTGCGTAATTAGGTACACACAGCTTCTTAGTACCCTTCTTATATGCGAGCCCTTGGTCCCATTGAAGGAGTCTGCGTCTATCTGTTGCTGGAATCTCTGGGTCAATGTTGAAGCCATGCTGGAAGAGGCCTTTGAGGAGATGGTTCATCCATTGCACTTGGAGGGAGGCGAGGTTCGGCGGTCTGCTGAGTGCGTCAGCCTTGTTACGCAACCCATGCTTGTATACGATGTTGTAGTTGAAGTGGGTTTCCATGCAATTTCTTGCTAAGGTATGCAATAGGTTGCAACTCTTTGCCATGATCTTGCATGAGTACTGCTCCCACGGCTGCATCACTTGCGTCAGCTTCGAGAACGTAGTCCTTATCTAGGTTAGGTATATGAACTGGTGCCGAATTCAAGGCTTGGTTCAGCTTCTCCACAACTTGCATGTGTGTCTCCCCCCACCGAAAAGGCATTCCTTTTTTCAGTAACTCTGTAAGCGGTACTGCGATCTCAACATAATTGGGGATGAAGCGGTTGTAGTAGTTGGCAAAGTCGAGGAAATGCTGAAGCTCCTTCACGTTCTATGGCTGCTTCTACTGCTTCACTGCTTCAATCTTCTTGGGGTCCACGTGTACCCCGCGTGCGCTGATGAAGTGTCCCAAGAAGGGAACTTGATTCAACGCGAACTCGCTTTTTGAGAGTTTGGCGTAGAACTGTTCCTTCCGAAGGATTTCAAACACTTATTGCAGGTGACGTATGTGTTCGTCAATTGTCTTGGAGTGTATTAGGATATCGTCTAGGTACACCACGATACACTCGTCGAGTAGCGGGCAGAGAATATGATTCATCTCGGCCTGGAACATGGCGGGTGCATTCGTGAGTCCGAACGGCAACACTAAGTACTCGTAGGAGCCATAGCGCGTCCGAAAGACGGTTTTGTGGATAGAGATATCCGCCATCCAAATTTGCTAATATCCTGACCGAAGGTCCAATTTAGAAAAAACGGTGGCCCCTCAAAGCTAGTCCAGCAGGTTGTCTATCCTTGGAATAAGATATTTATTCTTGACGGTCTGCTTGTTGAGCGCCCTTTAGTCGATGCACATCCGCAACGATCCATCAGGTTTTGGTGTGAAGAGTACAGGTTCTCCGTAAGGTGATGTTAATGGTCGGATCAGCTTCTTCTCCAACAGCTTCTTCATATCCGCTAGCTCAGGTGGACTGAGGTGGTACGGAGGTCGGAAGGTTGGTTTAGAACTAGGTTTCTCCACGATCTCGTGCTGGTGTGCACGTGCTGGTGGTATGCCCGCCGGTAGGTCATCGGATAATACGTCATTGAATTCCTAGAGAACCCATTTGATGCCACTAGCTCCAATTCAGTGTCGTCTGCTTCAATAACCAATACCGTGTAACACTGCTCCGCTTTCTTCAGCTCCTTGGAGAATTGTATTCACGAAATAGTTGGTACGTCTCCCGTGTTATCGTAAGTTGGTAACTGGATAGACTGATTTTTATTTTTATACGTGGCTGTCCCCTATTGCCAGTTGATTGTAGGGTTGAACTGCTTCAAGAAATACCTCCCGAGTATCATGCCCACTCCTTGTAAGTGGGTAAATGGTGCAACGGGTGCCCAACGTATTGGTCCAATGTAGAGTTGTAGCCGCGTTTCGTCGCATACTGGTAACTCCGTGCCATCCACCATTGTCGCCATAAAGTGGGAAGGTTTGCTGTTGAAGCCGAGACGTTTGATGGTAGTGTTGGAGCAGACTGTATGGGAGGCTCCTCCATCCACTAAGGGTTTAACTCTCAGGCCATTGCATACTACTGTCAGGAGTAGAGGAGGTTTGGACTCCCCCGTGTAGTTGAGAACCTTTCCACTAAGAGGGTCAAAGGGTATAGAGGTGGAGGACTTATGGGTACTACTGGATCCACTAGACTCTAACGGTGGAGCTGCTACAGTAGGTGTGATAGGCAAGTGGTGTGTGAAGTGCGGATCCACACCTGGCCTATTGGTTGGTGTAGGGTTGGCATGCGTCCGTGCCGCCACTGGTGTCGACGCCGAAGGTGAGATTCGAGGTCGTTGCAGCTTCTTTTGGACCTCCAGCTTCCCCCTCAGCTGCTTGAGCCGTGTAGCCGCTCCGCGTGGGGTCCGTGGTGGCGTTGAAGGCCGGTTCCGGGAAAGGATACCAAGTGTCACAGGATCGAATGCGCTAGGCATAGTGCGGAAGTGAATGTAAACTATAGAATGAATATTGAATGATAATCCCGAGGAACAACACAATTTATAGGCGAGCACTCGCAAGGTCTTCCGAGCGAGGCGCGAGTCTAGCTAAAACGTGAATGTTCCAGAAGAGAACCATATCCATGTAGAGATCTCTGTCCAGCACACCGTGAAGAAATGTGTTCTTCACATCCAACTGCATCCGCTCCATATCCAATGCAGCTGCCACTGCCAGCAGTATGCGAGCTGTCACGTAACTCCCCACAGGTGCATAGGTCTCCTCATAATGCACTCCTGCCACTTGAGTGAACCCCTTGACCACCAGCCTCGCCTTCTCTCGCTCCACTCGCCCATCCGGCCGGCACTTGGTGTTCAGGATCCAGCGATTCTTCATGATGTTAACCCCGGGTGGAGGTGTTACGAGTTCCCAAGTCTCCTGCTCGAGTAACGTCCGCATCTCCTCGTCCATCGCCTCTTCGACACGGTCGCCTTTCCAGCACCCCTCAGTCCACTCCTCATCCTCGTCGGCATCATCCAGTCCCGGCTCAACCACCACTGCCCATGCATAACGAACAGGCGGAACTCCCCTCGTAATGCGGGTAGAGCGACGTAAGTCTGGAGTAATGGTTCCTGAAGCCAATACGTGACTGCCACTCCACTCTCCCCCTTCTCCTTCATTCTGCGGCTGCTGGTCTCCTTTGCCCAGCTGCTGCGAATCTCCTTCACCCTGCTGCTGCAAGCCCACTAGCTCCGTCAGCTCTCCCCTTACTCCCATTTCCCACTGCTGCGCCGCAGTCGGAAGCTGTCCGTCGCTGAACGCAAGAGACGGAGGCTCCAACACACCCCCCTCACCGACGGGCAGCGCCGGTGGAGGGGAAGGGGAGGGTGACGCAAGAGGGAGGGAGGGGTTAGGGGGAGTCATAAGTAGTCGTGTCATAAGTAGTCAGTGACTCTGACAAGTCATAAGTAGTCGTGGCTATCGCGATGGTTTTTCGTGAGGAGCAAGGCAGCGTTTGCCTTGCTGGTTGGAGTTGCGTATATGGCAAACCCAACCTTGCTGAGTTGGGTTGGAGAATTGGGCGAGGCGTGTTCGCCCAAGCCTTCGGCAAATTCGGGGTGGTTGATTACACCTGCAGCGCCATGCAACTTTGGTTGGGTTTGCACTTGCCTATATATTTGCGTGCTTATTTGTACTTTGATATATATATTTCTAGTGAACTTCTGCTCTACTCGAATTTCGACCAAGTACTTGAAGACAAACTCTGCCCAAATACCACCAGCGCCTAGCACGTTATTCGAATAGTGTTACTCTGTCGGAATCGCTCCACACTTTACCAGCGCTCTCGCTTTAGCATTCCTTCGCCATTTCCCTCTAGAAGCAACTGTTCTAGAAGCACTAGAGGATTCGCCGAAATACGGTGAACACTCGGTGCATGCAACAGTTACTCTAGATAACACATACACATATGGTAACCAAGAATAATCCAAATAATCACTTTGGATAAAATAATCTGAGTGATTAAAAGGAGTATTCTAGGTAATCAATAGTGACCTAGAAAATATAGAAATAATCCTTTCTCCTATGAAACCTATCATGCTCTCGCACATCTCCTGAAACTCACATAAACAGGAGCTGATTGCCCTCTCCTCAGCTGAAGCAGAGTACATCGCAGCAATCTCCGACGTTCGCGAAGGAATCTGCCTTCAAGAATTGCTGCATCAGGCAAAACTCAACACTTTGCCAACCTTCAAGTTATCTGTAACAACCAGAGTGTAATCAAGATCACCAACAAGCCCGGCTTCGTCAATCGCACACATACACATCGCCCTGCAATACTTTTTCTTCAAGGACGAAAACGACAATGGAAAAGTGGACCTGACATACAGTCCCACTGGTGACATGGCAGCTGACTTCCTCACCAAGAAACTGCCACGGCAAAAATACCTGCACTGCGCCGAGCTCTGTGGAATCTCCAAGCATGCCAAGCTCGAGCACCTTCAGCAGTGAAGGGGAGTGTTATGATAAGGAATCTATTGCATTCCTGAATGTGACATTCGAGCCTTAAAGCGAAAGTATACAATAACTTCGAGCGACGTCCTTAGCGTTGGCGAGGTCGTTCTTATGATGCGAGAGCCCTTCCCTTCGCGTGGGCCACGCTTGAGTTTTTAGCGAGGGTGCGCTCCTCACTGTTTTTGCCACCCCTCCTCAAATTCAAGGTCCTTCGAACCTTGAAGTTATTGTATACTTTCGCTTTAAGCCTTGTCGAGTCCAAGCTTATGGCGCAAAGCACAAAGTGCAACGGTCGTTGACCGCTGATTGATAGTTGAACCGACTGAAGTCCAAGGGTCCGTCACGATAGCAAGGACACTAACTAACCCTGTAATACAGCATAGACAGTTACCTGAGTCGTGTACAGTGCATCTTAGTTAGACCCTTCGCATTCTCTTGTATCACTATATGAACCCTGTATTCTCTTGCTATAATCAACATGTTATGCTACATTCACTTTGACAGAGTTCATCGAACCAATCAATCGCTTCCGCAAAGCGCAAAACAGCAGTTTATTTATGAAGATCCTAAGGACAATATTGGATCGCTTCAGGATGCAAATGTTGTGGCTCATGCTCCAAGGCCCATCTGCTGCAATGCACTTGATTGTTTGCCTGAGTAATGGCCAAGGGTTTCATAGTGGAGTAACTGAGGCTC